TAAATAGGAATTTATATAAAAATATCATATTTCCCGGGGATATATCCACTTTTCCGGGAATCTTTTCTCTGAGCTCTCTTTTCTATTTTCACTATCGCGCATAGTGCATCAAATTCTTGAGCTATGCCTTTCAAATTGTACCATTTTTCTTGGAATCGTTCTGTACATCGCAAACATTGTGTAGGGAATTTTCCTTGAAAAAAAAACCGTTCTCTTTTTTCTATGTGCATTCGGTGTGGTATATCGTTTTGAAATTCATTTTTACCCAGCGTCTTAGTGTTCGCTTTTTGATATGAACGGAAACAATGAAACTTAGATTAAAAGTAAACAATGATCGACTAGTTTAAATGGACGCAAACTACACAATGAATAGAAAGGGAGTCTTTGATGTCGTCTTCATGATCATCATTTTGGCAAAGTAATTTATGGATGCATTGTTGCATCATAAAGTGGAGTGTTTTTACATCATTCTACATGGAGCCTTCACGATAAGAATCGGTTCTTTGATGCAAAACCCTCTTACGGAAAAACAATTACTTTAATAGATTTTCTCTTTTCCGAAATGAATGTTTGCATTTGACAAGCGGAAATGTGTGTTTCGCAAAATGTTCTTAGATTGATAGGTAAATTTAGCGGTTTTAGCAACTGTAATTGCAAGATGTAAATGGGAACGTTGTAATTTTGTAAAACTCCTTGAAACTCGTTAATACTGTGCCACATTGCTTGTTGTTACTTCGATGTTACTTTAATTGAAATGTTGCGTTTAATGAAATCACGTAGCAAGTCTAAACCATTGCAGTCGAGTGCAGCTGTGGATTTTGAATAGTTTGACGTGTTAATAAGATTAATTATTTCTGACGTTCATAACTTGTTCAATTTGTCGAAATGTCGAAACAATTTATCGATTCAACCGTTTTCGAGTGGTGAAATCGATGTGTTTTATTTTTGTTTCATTATTCCAAGATCATTAGCTTGCGAGCGGCAATCAATTAAATTCGAAGGTCGCTGCTATTGATTCGAATCGAAATGTAAAATTGATGTGACAAACCCAAAGTGATTCAAATGTATCACTTGAAGATGATTCCGTTTGACATGGCATAGCAACCATCAGACAGACTCGTTTTGAATTACACGATACCATTTCTATTGTTTTACTTTTGTTCATTATGTATCAATTCGATGTCACGTAGACTAAATTTGGTCGTAATTCCTTTACCTAGTTTGCTATCGAAACCATCTGCAAATGAGCACATGATTCAAATGTGTCACCTCGAATTTTGTGTTTTTATTGTCATTTCCACATAATGAAATGCCAAATGCCATTTATCTATCTCAACCGAATCGAATGTGATACATACGGTTTGTGTCGCGCGCGCACGCATGCACGAACGCTGCGGGAAAACTTTTATGGTTTTTTCATCTGGCTTGTCATTTGTTGTTGATTAAACTTAAACTAGACGGAAATCATTGTCACTATTTCGATATGGTTTCCATGGCGAGAGACGAGCGAGCAATCAAGTGATAAAGAAAAGAAGCCACCTCGATGACAGGGTATGCCGTATAGGTCGTGCGATTTCCGTTTGTCACCACGGAAGCCCCATCATCAACACCGGATTCACTTGCCACCCTGATTTAATTCATTATAATTGGAGACAGTTACTTACACTTTACGCACACAAAGTTTCTCCATATACACGCTGATGTGTGTATACCAGGCACACGCACACCAATTTATATTGCAATTGGGACTGCGAAGCATGTTTTGTCTTGGCACCACCGTTGTCAACACAAAAGAATAACTTTGCAAACGTTTATTATTTGTTGTTGAACAACTTGAAGAATATGGTATGTTTCGAATGCGCCGCCAACACAAATGTGGGCCATACATTATCTTATTTGGCGTTGGCTCAAACAATATTACAAATTATTGTTTTCGGGTGTAATGTGCTTTTCGTATGAGTGCTTGTGTGTGCATGTGTGTTTGGAACACACCGTCACTTACGTATATTTCGCCTCTATGTATATCACGAAATAATTATTTGTGCTGCAACATTTCGGGGACTAGATTGCAAAATGAAAATGCGTGCTGCCAGTTACCGTAGCAAATGAACAAAATTCCAAGCAGCAAATAATATACATAATAACAATTATTTGATTAATAAAACAGCAAGTCACATACGTTTACATGCATGAAAGCAATATTAACCAGCACAATTCCTCTGTTTTGTGGGGGAGAATTCTGTATTTTATCATACTCTTCTCACTTGTGTGTATGTGTGTTCTTTGCTTTTCCCACAACGAAGATGCAATTTTTGCATCAGTGTTCAAATGAAATGTGTGACGACAACATTTTCGGTAATTTATACACTGAAAGTTTTCCATGTGCAAAAATTCTATTTTCGCTTCCCGCGGTGTGTGTGTGCGGAATGCGGAACCAAAATAAGCTCTCGGATATCAATTTTATAAAGAGTTATGACATACGGCAAACAGTCAAAAAGCATTTCTGTTGTGTACTTACAAGCGAATAAAATACAGTTGTAAAGTAAAATTTTCAGTTTCTTGGAAACAATGACGTTGCTCGAGTCTTCTCTGAATATTCCAAAAGTTCATGCAATGGCGAGTTTTTTTGGCTTTGTTTGTGCAAAAACACTTTCCAACTAATTACTTTGACACCCGATTGCTAAAAGAAAACAGCAAGTATTCTGTGCCAACCAATTTCCAATTAATTTCATATTTCCGCTCGAATAAATTGAAAATGTTGGACGTAAAACGTAGCGGATTGCCTTGAAAAGTCTTGAAAATTCACCTAGTTTTTAGCTTGGTATTTAGCTAATAAGAGGAAGCTTTTTCGAAAATAGGAGTGAAATCAATTTTGGGCGCTGGGACGCAACAACAATACAAATGATGATCGTGGTGATTCGAGCGACATTCCATAAATGTTCGTAATCAATTATCATAAATTTCTGCGCATTCTGCTGCCGTTGGTCTGTTCCAAAACAAACCGACAAATACGATAAGCTTGTCCCAAAGTCCAACGATGAATATGTAATGAAATGGATTTGGAGGGCATGCATTTTACGAAATCCGGATTGGTGCGTAAACAAATTGGCGCATACAAATCATAAATTTTTTCAAAATGCTTCAAACAACACCAACAATTAACAGAACGAAAATATTTGTCTATTGGCAAAACCAACCAACCAACCAACCAATCAACAAACAATGGAAAAAATAATGAATTGTGAATATTTTGTCTTTGTTTTGCCGTTGATGGTTTCTCATTTTGAAACATTTGAAACTGAAGCGATGGCGGTGGCAGTGGTGCCGGCGGACGCGGACACTAATTCAAATGAGAATAAATGTTTGCTCATGTTGGCCCAATGGTTTTGTTCGTTGGTAATGTTATGGCATTTCGCTTTGTTGCATTTCACGTTGCATTGAATGTTTGCCTGTTCTCTTTCACATCAATGAAGTCAATATGGGCACAATAAACACCATCAAATTGAAATTTTGCGCAAACAATTAAGCGCGTGTGGTCGACACGATGGCATCGAGTGAAACAGTGCTGCTGCATTTAGCAGACACAATCAAATTATTCAGGCCATGTGACAATGCTTCATAATAATAATATGCTAGTCGCATGCACAGTACACGCACACATCATTTTCATAATTATTGATTTTCAATTATTTAATTGTGCGTGCCTCATGCATAGCTCAGAGAAAAAGGATTATTAACGAAAACAAAAATGTTTTCGCGTTGAAAATAATAATAAACACACGGTGTGCAGATTGTATGAAAAGCATTTCGTTTTGGTGGCACCGAGTGAAAAAGAAGAGAGGAAGCGGTGGGGGACAACAAACAACAGCAAACACATATAATAGTTATCTGTCGCCAATATCACGAACCCGGGCACAGACACTGTAATTACACTACAAACAGAATATACAATTTGCGCATCAGTAGAAAAGCATAATTAAATCATATTAATTTAATTTCTCGCACTTCAACCACTTTACGGTGGTATTAGCATTGCAGACATTGGGCACTGAACACTCGTCATCGCGGCTTCATTTTGAGCATTTCAAACTAATTCAATTGCTGTGCGACACATATATACTTTTTTTTTAATGTGGATCCATATTGCAATTTGGCATCGACATTTCGGAACTGGATGAATTCATTTAACCCCGCTGGTATGTGTGATACCGGGATAGAGGTAAATATTCAATTACATTAATTTACTTTGACTAATGATAATTTAGCGAGAAAATGCTGCCAAAGTTAGATAAAATTTGAACAGCTATTTTTGACACACACATATGGTTTGAAATTGAGTTTTTGGCTTAAACTACAACTGATTTGAATTGAAATATTTTGGAGCTGATATGTGTATGTGTAGGTGTGTATGTAGGTGTATGTGATACGAAATGTTTTCGCTTTGTTGACATAATATATCCGGTGTGACTTGCCTGCATTACAATTTTCATGATTAATTACATGGCATTGTATCTTCGTTACCATATACGCTCACGTTCAGAAATTAAATTGAATTTTCCGTTGGTCAAATTCGAACATTGGCAATTATATAATGATTATTTGATTAAATTCCTCATTTTATACCGTACGCACACCACTGGTCGTATATGTGTGGCCCAATAAAGGAAACGAATTTGCATGCTCTGGCCTCTATCGAAATCCCATTGTACCATCCAATCAATCATAATTTATTCGAATTCGTTAACAAAAAACGAATCAAAACATTCGGCTTAAAATAGATGCAATTTTAATGAGCTGACCTGGTGTATGCTTTTTTTTGACTATGGTTTATATTAGTTGTATAGATAGATATATGGGTTATTTTCCTCATCGAATACATTGCGATATGATCGCACACACCGAATGAATGGCTTAAAATAACATACGCCACCAACAATTCATTGAATGGCATGATCAACATACAACCGATAGAGAGAGAGAAAGAGAGAGAAAAAACTTACCCGAAATTGACAGAACGCTGGATGTATTATTGACCAAATTATCCATGATTGGCAGAACTGTTGTATAGGTTAACCATTCCAACAGATTATTATTCAAATTCAATGTGGTCACCGCTGGCACCGTGCTGAACACACCATTTTCCAACAGAGCGATTTTGTTATTTTGTAAATGAAGAATGCGTAAATTATTCAAACCATCAAAAGCTCGTTCGGAGATCCGCTATTTTTGTACAGTACACAAAGTGAGATGGAAAAGAAGAAGAAAATGGAAACAAACAACAAATATTAGTGAAAACAGCAGAGAAAAAAGCTAGAAACACATTTTGATATAACGATTGGAAACCGAATCGAATCGAATGGAAAACAAACTAAAACCACATTAAAGTAACCCACTCAAGGGGAACCATAGAACCCTAAATAAATACGATTGTAAAGTAACCGTACGATTGCTATTCGTTTGATTTAGAAGTTTATTTCAGTTGAGTGACAAATGAAAAACAAGAATAGTGGAATGGAACGAAATTAATTTGTATATCGGACGCTTTGCGTCCAACGGACAAGCAAATATCGTAAGGTTACAAGATTGATTTTAATTCATTAGCTCTGTGTATCTAGGCAGTTAAATGAAACTCAACGTCACAATTCCATTTACAGCAACCAACATACGGAAGAGCAAACTATTTACAAACTAACAACTTTTCCCGCTTTCCGCTTCATCACTCTTTCGTCAACAAATAAAGTAAACCCCCTTTTTTGAATTACATTCAACGAAGAAAATATAAATAATTAGCCAATTATTGTTAATGAGCAAAGTTTCTCGTTCAAACGAACATGAACAAGCATTGAATGCACAAGAATTTATCATAAATGTGATGTATTTTGATGGGCAACATATTTGAAAATTTTCCACGAAGAATTGATTCAAATTAAAAGCAAATTTCCAAATGGTAATATTTTCACTGCAGACAACTTTATACAACATCAACCAACTCGATTCAATTGAACATTCACAAAACTTGTGATTTGTGTTCATTTGTGGAAAAAAAAACTTAAAGAAAAAAAAAGAAACACTTACTTCAAGACTGTTATTTTCCAAATAAAGCTCCTGTAGACTCCATAGTTCAGCGAAAACGCCATCACCAAGGCTTTTCAAATTGTTTACGCTCAAGTCAAGCTGCATTAATTTGCCCAAACCTTTGAATACGTCACGCGTTAATGCCGTCAATAAATTATCGTTCAATCTCAATTTATTGAGATTGGTGATGTTGGCGAACACATCGTTCGGCAATGTTGAAATATTGTTGTGGCTCAGTATTAATTCCTCTAATTTGGGTAAATTGACAAAGGCCAATCGATTAATGCTGGTGATTTGATTCAATTGTAGATTTAGTTCGGCCAAAGCGGCATGATTGGCAAATGCAAACGCATTCAACACTTCAACTTGATTGTGTTCCAATGTAATGTTATGTACTCGTGTCAAATTGCTGAATGCATAGGATGGAATTTCCCGGATATTGCCATATTGAATGTTCAATGTTTGTAAATCGCGTTGTCGACGGAACACATCAATTGGCAAATAGCCTAAGAATCCGTGCTGGGTTACCGTCAACTGGATGTGCTTAATGTTCGGATGACTGTTGAAAGCGAACCAAGATGGATCTGACTGTGGGAATTCTTCGTGCAATAAGAAACAATCGACTTCATTGATTTTCTGCTTGTAATGGTCATGGTTGCAGTGGCACAGTAGCTTCATGTCAACGCCTTTTTCACACAAATTGTTCGTCGTACTGACGACGGGTCGGTCACGTCTTCGATTATTTGGTGTGCGATCGCGTGTGCTTTCAATTGTGCACACAACGCACATTATCACCAGCATCAGTGCAATATGTCGCTGTAGTATTGACGTCATTTTCGGTTTTTTTCTTCTTCTTCTGGTTGTGTAGTGGTTTAATACTCTATCTCTTTCTCTCGCGCGCTCACTCTAACACTGCTCGTTGTTCTGCAAAAGAGAAAATACCAAAGATTAATGAAAAGATATGTACACCAAACGATTATTATCGTTTATAGGATTTATTTGGCTAATGCATACTGCTTCGGAGTGATAAATTGGAATAGTTGAGAGTTGCGGTCAGTTTAGGCACTTTTTATGAGGATGACATGCCACAGAGATAGTTCCATTATTCAATTTTGCACCATTGACAGTTCGGAATGGAATATTTGTCGGATTTTTTCATTGAATTTTTCATGGATATTCTTAAGCCTTTAGATTTTTGATGTGTGCTACATTCCATATATGAATCTAATTGACCCCATCATTTACGTGCTACATTTGAACACTTGAGCTGTCTTCTTGCCGATACCTCACCATTTAATATGGCTCGATTTTGACACAAGCATATCACCTACACTATGCCCGTATCATCGCAACCGGCTAGGTATTAGATATGGATCATAAATAAACCATAATATAATGGAGAAGTGCATGCGGAACGACCCGATAGGATGGTGTGCATTTTATCGTTGATAAATTGGATAATATGCCCATTATTGCTGCGAGTACAATGACCCATCGATTGAAACGTTCTTCGAACTTCCAAACAAAAGACAAGACACACTTACAATGCGATCAATATATCCCGAATGCATATTAACGCGTTGGAAATGCGGTTAGAAGTCGATTGGCTTCTAACGTTCCAAGTAAATATTTAAGTACTCATTCCATATACTGAGGCGGGCTTTATGCATTCATTATGCTGTCGTTTTCCTTTTGCATTTTCAAATGAATGACAGCATATTCGCCAACAACTATGGAACATTGTAAATATCATTTCAAATTTAGCAGAAACTTTTCATTTATTTGATGTGAATCACTCTTTTCGAATACGTCTGAATATTTTATGGCATGTGCTAATTTCCATTGACCACGATGACGATACGACCAATAGGAGTTTGTTTTGGTATTCATTGATAGTAGTGCTTTCGTTCTATTAACATTTTCCTCCATATAATTGGGTCTCTGCAGCGATTGAGCAGAACAAACATTTTGTCACGGTGCAATGGCTGGCGTTCAATGGGTAACGCTTTCAAGCGGATGTCACTTGAATGGATATTGTCATCATGGGTAAATGAAACGTAAGACTAACAATAAAATTCAACTTAGATGAATGTGCAGAGACGATGGCTTGTACGTGGCGCTTCATCAATAATGCATCTAGTAATAGACTGGCTCAATTTAGCAAACGTGTCACTCGGTCGTATCAAGAATTTTGATGTTTTTTTTTCTTCTTTGCTGTTGTTGTCGTTGTTGCCGAAAAAAAGCACATGAATTATTCGTATGGAATTTGAAATGGAAAATGTCATTTAAATATGGATCTCGGACGAATTTGAATAAATGACTGAGCATTTTTCCCAACAAATATGATATTTTGTGAAAAGTTGAAATCGTCTAATTTGCATGTATTTTGCATGACCAAAGCTAAATGCCAACAATGATGTATTTATGTGCAGTGAATGCATTTCCATTTAACATACGCTCGCTTTGTTCAATATATGCGGACCCCAAATGGATTGTGTACGGAACGCATGTGTCCTACCATTACAATGCATTCCGGCCGTAATATGAGGCTCTCGACAGTGAAATTAAATGCATCTACAATGTGCATGTACGACAAAGCAAAATCGTATTGCATACGATCGATTGGTGCTTTGTCATTAACTAGGCATCTATTCGTGAGACGTAAAAGAACGTATGTTTTTTTTCAGTTTTAAATATTTGAAAAGGAAAGTATGTTTTCGATCGATTTTGTCTGAGTAAAAGAGAAGTATGTTTGATGGCAACTAAAAATGGTTAAAAGAATGTATGTAATTTGAATGGTAGCGTTAGCGAAAAAAGAATGCATGTTTATGGTCAAGTAAATTTTGCAAAAAGAATGCATGTTGTTCTATCTATTTAGTTAATAATAAAGAGAAGCATGTTCTCATACATTTATATTGCCAAAAAAGAAAGTATGTTGGCTAAAATAATGTAAATAAAAAAATTTATTCCGACCGCCACGAACAGGAATTCATAAACCTTAACACGGTCGGACAAGCGAACGACCAATATATTTATTGTCACACACCAGTCGTGCCGTCGCAGTGAATGAATCGAGTGGAGTAACAGGCGCACAGTACTTTCAGAGTGCGCATGCGCGCTCGATGAAACACGCATCTCCTGTCCACTTCATTCATAACCGCGCGCCGTTTCAGTGTACAACAACAAATACATTAGATGTCCGAGCGTGTTAAGGTTTATGAATTCCTGTTCACGGCGGTCGGAATAAATTTAATAATTTACACTATTTTAGCCAACATACTTTCTTTTTTGACAATATAAATGTATGAGAACATGCTTCTCTTTATTATTAACTGAATAGATAGAACAACATGCATTCTTTTTGCAAAATTTACTTGACCATGAACATGCATTCTTTTTTCGCTAACGCTACCATTCAAAATACATACACTCTTTTAATAATTTTTAGTTGCCATCAAACATACTTCTCTTTAAGGCTACGAAGTTGGACAAACTTGCGTTCTTTTACGTCTCACCAATAGGCATATAGTAAATAGTGGTTGCATAACTGGCAGTACATACAGTAAAAAAGGATGTATTTTTTTTTAAAAACGACCTACAATTTGAATCGCACCGACTTTGATTTGAATACCAAATGCGCTGCGAAAATGGGCCATATGTGTGTTTATGCTAATCGATTTTTAGTTGTGAATAATGAGAAACAACCGTTGGAAAAACCGTTTGAGGAGTTAATTAGGGAAAGGTTTTTTTTTGTTATCATTCGGTGGAAATTCATTGCAAAAACCATGTTTGTCCTGATGAAGCCAATATTTTATCGCTTAAATTTAAAAAATATATATATTATATTGTGCTGCTGCTTTCATGGTTGTTCTCTTTTTATTTATGATGGCCAATAAAAAAAAACAAACTGTCGGACTTTTCTCGATCAAGCGAAAAATCATGCATCCGGTTCCCGATGCTGGAAATTCCGTTGCGTAAAAATATGTGCGTTCCGGTAACCCCAATTAGTATTTACGATTCATTGAATTTTGACGCTGTCAACATGGCCCGTTTTGGGATATTGTATATTGGAAATTACAGCACCTGCAGTTCACCATAACGCTTTTGTCCAACGGTTTAATGCAGATTTTGGAACTGCCATTGAAATAAAAACCATTTTGACTGCCGTTGTTTTTTTTTCCACACGGGAAACATTGTGTGTGTGTGTGTGTGTGAATTAATCGAAAAATAAATAATCCACTGACAGAGTAAATTGATTGATGAATGTCGCGTATACCGCATTTTTTTCTTCGTTTCGTTTTCACGTATGTTGTTTTTGTTAAATCGTATGGAAAACAGCAACTGTTAAATAATAGCTATTGTGCCGTTCAAAGTTGATTTGTATTCGCTGCATGGCTAGCAAAGAAATGAATAAAAAGCGGAGAACAGGTGGCCAATATGGCAAAGATGAGACGCAATATGACTTACGAATGAAAAGAAAACGAGCATGAACACAATTGATAATAAACAAAATATCCAAGATCAAAGGCGAGAATGAACAAAAACACCGGAGGAATGTGTAGTGTCGAATTGACTTTTTTACGCTTTCGTGAAAAAAAATACGTATTTGATGACAATCGAGCGGAAGGGCAACTGTGCGACAGATTCAAAGTGTGTGCTACACACAATCTGCTACATATAAATATTGATTATTCAAAATGCATGGCCGCTTTTGGCCTGTGGATTTAACATTCACATTTGGCTGTGTCAACACTCTGACACACACACACACTCGCTCTTTCGCTCTCTTTCTCTTTTCTCTCGTTCTCACCACGCACTATTCCACACATACATACATAATTCATGTGTGTGGGGAAACGGTTCGAGTGTTGACAAACAGTTGGCCAGTACACACATGAAATTTATCACCGTCACCGATTTTAACTGAACAATCAACACATTCTGTCAGCGCGCTATTTTTTTCGTAGTGTCGTTCACCAGAACGAACACTTTACTGCTGACAGTTGTCAGCTTATCATTTGCTCTGCCACTCAAACGAATTTCAAACAGTTAGTTTTTTGCTCATTTGCGTATTTTTTTTGTTGCTTCCAGTAAAGTCAGTTCACTGCGTGTTGATACAATTTCAGTGACAATTTCAACCATCAACACTGTGTCAATTTTTGAACGAATTTATTCGAGACAGTTTTTGCGGTATACTTTACCGAAGAAGTTTCATTTATTCAGGATATTTTGGTATCGATTTGGTTCATTTATATTTCAGGACCTTCTCTCACAATTCGAAGTAGGCGAACCGTCAGAAGCGCACGATGATAACGAAAGGGCGAACAATTGTAGAGCGCCGCTACAGAGTGATGACAACACTTAGTTCAAATTTTTTCGCGCTCAAATTCACTCCGTCATATTCATCCTTGTTTTGATGTCGAAACAGTGAAAAAAATAATAAAAATAAATTTGAAATAAAATAAAATACAATTTAAATTAAATCCGCACATATTTTACATGTTTTGCTGTTTGTCGTATGATTTCGCAATAATCCATAATGGTGACGAAATATTATGAAATATTGCGAAATCATATATTACAAACAACAAAACATGTAAAATATGTGCGGATTTAATTTGAATTGTATTTTATTTTATTTCAAATTTATTTTTTTTTATTTTTTTACTATTCTTTTCACTGTTTCGACATCAAAACAAGAATGAATATGACGGAGTGAATTTGAGCGCGAACAAATTTGAAATTTTTTCTTTCGCATTCTGCCGTTCTCCAGTAGTGGCGCTCTACTATTTCACACTCCATGTTTTACATAGAAAAATTGACAGAATATGCCGGGTG